AAAAATGGGGAATAAAGAGGGTAGTTCTCACCCTTGATGCACAACTGCAAAACCAACAGGTTCTTGGACCAAGAACCAACTCTTTAACCTCTGAAAATGACCTCCAAGAACCTTAGATTAATGGTGGAGGTGTGTGGCTATGAGGTGTGGTGTAATAGGCCAAGAACAAACACTTTCTAAGCCTAAATTATAGAGACAAAGAGAGATATATGCTTCTTGCCTTAAACAAATTTTTTGGAACCTCTCTAAAGGAGAGAGAGGCCCTCTCTTATAGAGAAACAAGAGGGTTCAAGCTTCTTGGAGAAGCTAAAGAGGTTCAAGCTTCTTGGAGAAGCTAAAGAGGTTCAAGCTTCTTGGAGAAGCTAAAGAGGTTCAAGCTTCTTGGAGAAGCTAAAGAGGTTCAAGCTTCTTGGAGAAGCTAAAGAGGTTCAAGCTTCTTGGAGAAGCTAAAGAGGTTCAAGCTTCTTGGAGAAGCTAAAGAGGTTCAAGCTTCTTGGAGAAGCTAAAGAGGTTCAAGCTTCTTGGAGAAGCTAAAGAGGTTCAAGCTTCTTGGAGAAGCTAAAGAGGTTCAAGCTTCTTGGAGAAGCTAAAGAGGTTCAAGCTTCTTGGAGAAGCTAAAGAGGTTCAAGCTTCTTGGAGAAGCTAAAGAGGTTCAAGCTTCTTGGAGAAGCTAAAGAGGTTCAAGCTTCTTGGAGAAGCTAAAGAGGTTCAAGCTTCTTGGAGAAGCTAAAGAGGTTCAAGCTTCTTGGAGAAGCTAAAGAGGTTCAAGCTTCTTGGAGAAGCTAAAGAGGTTCAAGCTTCTTGGAGAAGCTAAAGAGGTTCAAGCTTCTTGGAGAAGCTAAAGAGGTTCAAGCTTCTTGGAGAAGCTAAAGAGGTTCAAGCTTCTTGGAGAAGCTAAAGAGGTTCAAGCTTCTTGGAGAAGCTAAAGAGGTTCAAGCTTCTTGGAGAAGCTAAAGAGGTTCAAGCTTCTTGGAGAAGCTAAAGAGGTTCAAGCTTCTTGGAGAAGCTAAAGAGGTTCAAGCTTCTTGGAGAAGCTAAAGAGGTTCAAGCTTCTTGGAGAAGCTAAAGAGGTTCAAGCTTCTTGGAGAAGCTAAAGAGGTTCAAGCTTCTTGGAGAAGCTAAAGAGGTTCAAGCTTCTTGGAGAAGCTAAAGAGGTTCAAGCTTCTTGGAGAAGCTAAAGAGGTTCAAGCTTCTTGGAGAAGCTAAAGAGGTTCAAGCTTCTTGGAGAAGCTAATATTAACTACAAAAAAAAATAGCAAAAAAAATAAAAATAAAACCACATCATTCACATCGCCTCTCCTCTCCTCTTCGTCGGGTGCAGATCCTCTCCTTGCAAGAGTTTACGTGCGTGCGTCCTTGCAACGGCTGAGATCAACCGTTGCACATCCAACAAATGAGATTAAAAAAAAAATTTGAAATTACACTCAAAATCCCGCCCGTTGCTAGTTATATCACTCAGCTATATTTCACTCAGCCTCGCACGAAGCCGTCCTCCTCCACCGAACCGACCCTCCCCAGCGAGCAGTCCCCTAGACGGCACCGATGACGACCAGTCCCCCAGACGGCACCGGCGATCCACTCCAGCTGTAATATTTGCTGCTTCGTGAACCATAGCTCCACCGCGACCACCATCGGCTGTGACAAAAATTTGTTCATCAGGAATCAGGTTTGTATTCGAAACTCTGAAATTATCTCCTTAGGATTGTGTGATTGAGATTGAAATTTGAAAATTAGGGATTTCATATTGAATTTAGGGCTTCGACTATGACAAAAATTAGGGCTTTCACTGTGAAAGAAATTAGGGCTTGAGATTGAAAAGATAAATAGATGATTACTAGGGCTTGAGATAAATAGATGAAAAGGTAAATAGAAATTAGGGTTTGAGATTGAAATTAGGGCTTTCATAGTAATCATCTATTTACCTTTACAAAAATTAGGGCTTCGACAGTAACTAATATGTACAACATTATATGCATTTGCTTGATTCCAGAATTCCATATAGGAAATTATACTAAGTTCTTTTCTTATATTCCAGAATTCTGTTTATTTTCATGTATTTTCCAGAATTCCATGTATTTTCCTAGCAACATAAAAGTATTTTCCATGAGAAATGAGAACATAAAAGTTTTATGTTAGTAACATAAAAGTTGTCATGGAATTCCATAATTTAAGGGGTATTGTAAATCTGTGGAAGAATTAAGTACAGACCCCCATGTTTTTGCAATTACTTTCATTGCTTACCACTGATTTGCAATTCCCCCATAATTTAATTCTTGACTGTTTGTGAATGTTTTGATTGTAAAGACTTTGACTTCAGTTTATGCCATAGATTTTTTAGTGTTTGAACAATTTGAGAATTACAGTGTTTCTGAAGTTATGTGGGTGAATAAGTAGTAAGTGGTTACGATCATTTGGAAATTGGCTATTTTAGTTGAAAAAATGTATAGAAAAGTAGAGAGATTGGTTAACTTTTTAGTAGTTACTTTTTATCTTTTTGGGTATACTAGCCACTCCCCAAACAGCCTAGTGATTGTTTGAGTTGAGATTGTCAAGGTATCAGTAGTTCACGTAAGGATTGTCAAAACCAGATGCCTTATAATCACTTAAACACAGGACCATCATAGTCAAGGAGCAACTACTCTACCAACTGAACTAATTTAGTTATCTATCTATCTTTTTTTTATATGTGCATAGTTCCATGTTAAAAGTTTGAATGAACAATAAATTATTAAAAGACAAAATTCAAAATTTAAGAATGCAACATACTGCAATACAAATTTCATTCACCGTGGCTTATTTTGTTCTCATTTCTCATGGAATTCTCATGTATAAGAAAAGAACTTAGTAACATAAAAGTTGTCATGTATTTTCCTAGGAACATAAAAGTTCTCATGTATTTTCCAGAATTCCATGTATTTTCCTAGCAACATAAAAGTTCTCATGTATGCAATATAAAAAAGGGGGTATTTGTGGTATTAAAGCAAAAGCAATTACATCGAATGGCCCTATTTGGGTATAAACTCAAGCTCATAAAAATAGGGAATGGAATAAATAACAAGATCATGAAATTTAGTCCAACAATGATCAATGAATTTCTGTCTTTCTTTATTCTATCCTCTATTTCTTCTAACATTGGCTGCATGAGTTGATGTGCTCTCACTTCGTAAAAGAGCTTTTCAGCCTTTATTTCGAATGCTGTTTCTCTCAATTCTTGTTCCAATTCGTCTACCTCTAAGTCATCCCAGTATGCAGAATCTTTGTTCTCGAAATCATCGAATTCTTCAATGAAGTTCTCTGCTTCGTACTGGGCGTGAATGCGAAGGGACGAAAGTTGGTCTAAAGATTGTGTGGTGGCCATAGAGGTCCGATGCCAGTGGAGAAGCAATGGAAGTTGGTCCAAAAACATGTGAAGCTCTGCTTGGGCGAGGGGATTGAAGACATGACCCCCAGTCAGTATATCACAAGCCCATCGAAGGTTCTTAAGAGGGACTTCGTCCTCAAGAACATTGAAGGGCAAGTGAGAGAAAGGTGCGAGCAGAAGTTGAGCTTACTTCCGCTCAGTTGGATTAGGGGAAAGTGGAGGCTTGTAAGGTGGAAAGACCTTATCCGCGGAGAGGGCAAGCCTCAGTCTCTCTATCCAGCAAGGATTTAGCGGAGGAGAAAGTGTGGATGCTTCTATTTCAGGAGATGGAGGAAGGGCAGAAGGAACAGAGGCATTAATATAATCGAACCAGTCAGAAGAACAAATCTTCGCCTTCTGGGCTAAGAATGATGGATTATACCTTTGTGCCTCTTCTAGGTGTCGAGCGGTGTGCACTATCTTTATAGGCATGGAGGATGTATAACATGCCACAAACAGAGTCTCCTCCAAACTACGTCGATGGTCAATGGGCATGTAGGGATAGACCATCGAGCTTCACGCATAAGAAGGGAACTCTAAAGGGACAGTAAATTCGACACAGGGCAGCAGGAATTAAGAAAGGGTCCTCTGAGATAGTTAACCTAGATAGTCGGAGGGTGTCGAGAAGGTAGAGTTCTTGAATGTCCAGAGTCCTATCAGGGACAACCCGATCATACCATTCTTACCACTCCGGTCTCACCGTGGGCCAGCATCGGTGGGGGTGGTTCATCCTCCAGTTCCTCTAGTCAAGGCCACCTTCGTAAAGGAGGTAATGGTCTTCCAGACGTGGATATAGAGCTGGAAGCTCAGTAAGAATCTCCTTGAATATGGGCCCAAGCACATAGTCTTGTTGCACATGACGACGAGGGATGAAGATGCGTCCGTCGATGGCGCTTTTCTCAAGAATTTCGAAGCAATCGTCTGATTAATTGGTTGGCACTTAGTATTTCTGTAAGGACTTATTGATTCTTACTGACACGCTCAAATTATGTTTCTAACCCTTGAAAGCCAAAAAAATCCAATAGTAATTATAATTATATAGGAAAAAAAACAAAAGGTGCATTGCAAAAGGTATTTGTAGTTATATAAATAAGACAAAAGTTATTTGTATTATCCAGTTACAGTGTGGTGAGATCTTTTATAAATTTTTATTGTAGTTTTTTTACTTATTCTTTTTCACTTTTTAAAATGAAAAATTAGTAATTAAATTTCTATATTTAATTTTGCTAAAATATTATTCATAAGTAGTATAATTTATATGCTCTTTTTATAAGGAAAATGATATATTAATTTCTAAACCTATTTTCTGGATGAAATGATGTGTAAGTGATATGATTAGTTGATGATTAGAGAAGACATGAGAGACAGAGAGTTGCCTTAGATATTCAAACAGACTGCCACATGATTGGGTTTGAAAAGTGAGTCTAACTTTGGGCTAGAGTAGCACTACTCTTTTCTCTATTACCTCTCCTATTTTCTGAGTATATCTACAATGTGCATAGAATGGCCACCAAAGTTTTTCAAACCTCTTTTATTGACCCTCGATATTCCTTCATCATAACATCAATTCTATTGATTTGATATGCACATGTCATTGTTGTTTTTTCAATTATAGAGATAGATTTTTTTTTCTTCTTATTAATCTTTCAATCCAAAAATAATAATAACAAAAAAAAAAAAACACACACACACACACTAAGAAATGAAAGCTTAGACAAGAGAGAAAATTATTAAAAATTTAAAAATCCAAATAACAAGGGTAAGGAATAGGAAGAGTACCTGGAGATACTTGAGTTTCATGCTTCCATAAACGAGTCCTACAGAGAAGGCAGAAACACGAGCCACCTACATCCACATACATCAAAATCAGAATATATATGTGCATATATATATATATATAGAGAGAGAGAGAGAGAGAGAGATGAAGAGAGATACCAAAGCAAGAGTACTGGTTCCGGAATAAGGACCAGGAGGTGCGCCATTAGGAAATCTCTGTTCTGCGATTGAGCTTCGTGGGGTTCTGTGTGGGTGTTTTGTACAAGAAGAACAAGAAGAAGAAGATGAGAGAGAGAGAGACTCCGAAACCCTTCACCTTCAGATCTGTATTTAGCCCTACAATTGGACTGTGTATTGTTTCGTTATAAAAGAGCGGGGTGTGATTGTGTATGCTCTAGCCTATGGAAATCATTCAGAGACTTCGGACATGTTTGGTATCCTTTTAATTTTATGGTTTCGATTTTTTTGGGACAAATAATTTCGAAAAGTTGGAAAATAAAATATTCATAAGGGTTAAGGGTTGCGAGTTGCGTTTTAAAAAAAAAAAAATTAAATTTGAATATTAGAGAGCTTGAGGGGCTCATGAGCCCATCATGGATCACAGTTTAGTGATTTAAATCTTTTATTTTATAAAACACTCTATGTATATTATTTATTTAAAAATTTAAGTCAATTCGATAATTATAATTTTTTTTATTTCATCATATTTATATCTAAAATATATGATTCATTTAAAAATATATATTTGTCATCTATTTTTTCAAAAATAAATATGATAAAATAAAAAATTATGAAGATTGAATCAACCTAATTTTTTTCATAAATAATATAATAATTTTTTAAAATAAACAATTCAGATCATTGAAACAAAATATGTAAGTAGAATAATTTCGACAAATACAAAAAAAGAAACTTCTCCTTTGATGCCCTGGTTCTCCCAAATTCATATTGTTAAACTTGGTAGAAATTCAATCCTATAAAAAACAATTTAAAATCCATCACTACAATTACCAAACTACCTCTTTTACTTAAGTAAGGATCTTTCAAAGTGATTTTTCATAGAGTGATTTTAAACTAATTTTTTTGAAAAATTGAGATTTAATTTTAAAGATATTTATTAAAAAATCCTTTTTCAAGTGTTTGTATTCTAATTAGTCCATAAGATATTCTTATATTCTAGTAGGTCCTATTATTTGGATTATTTGATCTACCAAATCCTAATTCTTATATTTAAGATATTTTATGACCATTTCTATCATTACAAATATTTTTTGAACGATTAGCAATGTGAACATTCGTATTTTACAATGTGAATATTCACATTGACGTGTGAATATTCACATTGACATATGTTGGCTACATATTTTGTATAAGCCAATTACAATTTAATGCGTGGCAGATTGAGGGTAAAACGGGAAGAAAACTCAAACCTTCGATCGTGATCTTACACGTGGCAGTTAATATTGGTTTGCATAAGATCTGCGTAGTTCTGAATCAACAAAGAGATGCAAAGTGATGTGCTTTCAACGGTTACTCACATTTGAATTCAAAATTAGGAGAGAAGCCTAACTGCAAGTGATGGCATAGTGGAGTTAATTATAAGGCAACATGATCAGCGATCATGGAGGAGCAGTTCGACGGTTGGAAATGCAGTTCGATGGTCATCCTTGAGAAGTATAAATAGTAGAGAAGGCCCATAAAAAGACCCCCAGACTTAGATCCAAAAAACCAGTCTTATTCTACTTATTTTTCTTTCCAGTTTTACATTTTCAGTCTTACATTTCCTGTTCTTTACATTCCTGTACTTTAAATTCCTGCACTGTACTTCGTTCATAGGAGTAGTTTCAAGTAGTAGATTGTTGTTGTAAACCTCTACGAGGCTGAGTTTGGATCATTGTAAGTTTTTTATTTTAATGAAATGCTTCAATTGTTCTTCATTTAATTGTTATCTTGCTTAATTCTCCTAAATCAAGCCACCAGTAAAAGTCCTCTTCATTGAGGCCTAAAGAACTAAAACACAATTGTCTGATAATTGGTTGGCAATTAATTTTCTATAAGGACTGATTGATCCTTGCTGGCATGCTCGCAATTACAAAAATTACCTTTAAAAGCCAAAAAACTAACAATAACCAAATGAGACCCCTCCACAAATCAAGGAGCAAATGATTATTCCATTTAAAAAAGTTAAGGGTTGTTATTCCATGTTAAAAAGGTAAGGGTTGTAGTGTTTGAAATGGCAATGGGCAATATGCCCAATATCATATGCTTTGGAACTTCAACCATTCTGTTTTTCGGACCCAATTTTGGAATACCAAAAACCTCAAGTACTTTGTGTAAATTGTTTTAGGAAAATGAGTGAAAGCACTAATTAGTGCTACCACTACTGATGTGACAGTGTGCTTATTCACTGCCACAATTTTTTTGTGTCTTGGATTTTTAAAAAAATAAAAATAAAAATATGTACCAACTCATTAATGGTAGTACTAATCAGTGCTATGTATCATTGTTAATTATTTTATGATGCTATATATATAACAAATAAAAATAACGAATCAAACATAAATCAAGAGAAGTGAATTTTGTACCCAACATATTTTTTTCGAAGATTCACCAGTTACTTAAAGAATTAGTAAAACCCCCAAAATAAAACTAAATATGCTATTTTATGTTATGTGTTATGCATTCACACCACTGTCCACAAAGAAAGACAAATAGCTACTATAATTAGACCAACCTCCTAATTTCTCATCCATGCCTTATATAGCCCATCATATGTAATTTTTATTTTTATTTTTTGGTAAATAAAATGCCAGAGAGAGAAAATACATGTGTTTTACTTCTTTTATGGAACTAGGGCTGGGCCCTCTGTGAAGCGTACTAACAATTGTTTTCTTGGCTATTTTGGTCATGAGGAATGTTGGGTGGCTCGAGAAGGAGTTTGACTCGAATAGTTTGAAAAAAGGGAGAAAGAAATGGACTAATTGGCAATCAGTCTCATTTGAAAACATGCTATTTTAATGTGCTGCAACCTATGTACTCAGTTTCCATAGTATACTTTGCAGCACAACTTTGTTTCTTACTTAACCAAGAGACTGTTGTTCCATCAAACAGGAACACATGACCACTGGTAAATTTTTTATCATCTACATCTTCTGTAAAATCTGCGTCAGTGTATCCTTTTATTTCTAGATCACACAAACCAAAACATAATTTCAAATTCTTAGTGCATTTTAAATATCTGAATATTTTTTTGACTACTTGTCAATATTCTTTACTTGGATTGGATTGAAACCTACTTACCAATCTTACTGCGTGATAGATGTCAAGTCTTGTGCTTATCATAGCATACATCAAGTTGCCCACTGCCTGAGCATATGAGACATCTCTCATTTTCTCAATTTCAGATTTATTTTGAGGACTCAAACTTTCTTTGTTACAAAAAGTTCTTATAAACTTTTTTTTGTGAACCATCTTCTTCTCTCTCTTCACCATTTGCATTTAATGGATCCAAAACTTGTGGGCAACAAGAAGGGTAGTGACAAATTCCGCGACAATCAGTTTGGTTTCATAATTTAAGATTTATTTTTAAATAATTAAAATTTTATATTTTTTTTGTATGTTTTATATTTTTATTGATTCTTTTAATATTTTAAATAATCTGTTTAATTTTTAAATATATCTAACCTACCTACACTAAAAAGTATAATATTTGTGATTTTTAAATTTTTTTTTACTAAATATCAAAAATACAATAAAATAAAATAAAATGAAAATTCAGTACATTTTTTCATATTTTTGTGTATTTATTGATTTTTTAAAATTTTTTTAATAAATATTTTACTTTTTAGATACATTTAAGTAAGGTGCATCTGAAAATGTTAAAAAAAAAATGATTAAAAATTTTAAAATATTCACTAAAAATAAAAAAATATGAAAAAAGAAAACAACTACCAATACCAACTGGCTTCTCACGACTGTTGTGAAAATAAAATTTTCAGAAGATGGGTCTATTCCAGAAGAGAGCTTCATAGTCCACAGATGGTTATCTGAGGTATAATTAGTTGCACTACCAGAAACAGCAGGATTCTTTTCAATATGGGAAAATTCTGGTATGCTGCTAAATTTAAATTCAGTTGGATTATTTGTAGCACCGTTTTCAGCTTGTAAGTTCAAATCAATTGAACTAGCTGAAGCAGCCAACTTCATATTCTGAGAAGATTTTGGAAAGGGCCAACACGAAGACAGATCAAACTTGTAAGAGTGACTCAGAGCATCCATGTGGGTTTGCAAAGGTTGAACTCAGAGTGTCCATGTGGGTTTGCAAACTTGAACTGTTCATGAAAGTTGAATTTTCTCCATTTTGTACGAGTTGCAACCCCCAAGGATGAGACAGACATTTTATTGTGATCTTTACCGTACCAATCATATTGCTATTTAAGCATCTAATTGTAACCTCTAAAAATTATTTCAGTATGATGTTATTACCACTATTATGTATCAATTTGATTTTTGTGATTGGTTTGATGAGGTACAAAAGTATATATTCTTATGTGACAAAATATGAATTGTGTTAATATTTGTTGTCTTAATATTATTCTTATGATTTAGTAATATACATTATGATTATGATGATGAATAATTGTGAATAAATTATTATTTATT